ATTCTATTCTATTCTATTCTATTCTATTCTATTCTATTCTATTCTATTCTATTCTATAGGCTTACCATTCAACACTTTATTGTCATGGGGTTAAACAAAGGTAACCAAGTTAGTCACTGAATTAGCCTTCACTGCTAGTGGCTGGATTTATGCAGTTGTTTTGGCAGCATTCCAGATGACATATCCCATTGCCTTCTTCTGTTGTGTTGTTCTGACTAGCTACCAACCTTGGATATGGATTCCATGTGGTCCTCCTGCCCTCCAACTTAGGCTGACCCTGCTTAGCTTTTGATATCAACCAAGGTCAGCTAGTATTAGCTAAGGCCAAATCATATCAGACCAGTACAGGTAGTCCTTGACTTACGACCTCAATTGAGCCCAAAGCTTCTGTTGCTAAGTGAGACATTTGTTAAGTGAGTTTGGCCTCATTTTATGATTTTCCTTAACACAGTTGTTAAGTGAATCACTGCAGTTGTAAAATTAGTAATTGTCCCAAAATTTACCCAGTCTTAAAGGAGAAGTAGAAATCATAGTGGCTTGCTTTTTAGCCCAATACTTTAGCTCTCCCCAAAATTGGGTTTTAACTCCTCTGTTGCTTTATATAACAGCTCATTTCATTAACTGACCTTGAGGAAATGCTCTGTAATTTTTTGGTTTGACATCAGCCCAGGTTGCTGTTATTCAAGGAAAGTGAGCCCTGATTATAATAGGGCATTGCCCTTGCCATAAACTTTTTGTCTTCTCTGTATATAGGTTATATTGGGGACCCTATTTCAGATGAGAAGCACCACTCTTAATCTGAGTTTGGTCTTAATTCCACATGCATATTTTGTTTCTATGATAGATAATGGCTTGGAGCAACAACTCACTTTATTTTTGATTGCTTGTTGCAAATTGCACAAGGTAAAGATAATAAACAGATAGATACAGAAAATAGATGTTCATGAATATTTTGTATGCCAAGTATGATCTAGCATTGAGTTTTGACTTTTTTTGAAAAAAATGCATGATAATGAAGTTGCAATCTTGGTGATCTCTTGGATAGTAACGTATTTCCACATTGCTTGAATGTATGTTTCAGAGTGTATAATGAACAAAAAACCTATCCATGTTCTTCTGACTATTTTACAATTTATTTTGTGAAACTAATCTGAAACAGGGACCTATCTGCATAGAAAACTGAGAGAATGGGCAATATAAAGACCTGTAAGAGATTTCATTAAACAGAATTGCAAAAACAGCAGAGCAAAAGAATGTTATTTTATTGGTTTTAGAAGCCCCCCCCCCCAAAAAAAAAAAATTCCCTTTCCTTGATAGCAAGTGGCTGAACCTAATGAACCTTCAATCAAAGGTAAAGAAAATTGTGAACTCAAGTCAACAAAGGCTGTTATACACTTAACAATAGAAATATTTTTTGTGTGATAAGCAGAGACAAAAACAATGCAATTCCTTTAAAAAAATAATTGGCTGAATGAAATTCATTTATTAGAACTTGTACACATACCCCATGTAATCTATAAGTAAAATACTTATAAAGACACTTGGTCAAAAGCAGTATAGAGTAATATACTCTGCACTAAGTAAAAACATATAGACAGGGCTTTTTCCTGATTTGCTTCCGAAACACCAGAAATACATTTCATTTACATTAAAAACAGGTTGTCTACTAGTCAGGATCCTAGGGAATATATATATTTGTAAACAAGCCAATCTAATTCTTACATTCTGGAATAAGAGATGGAGGAATCCTTCATAAGTCTTCCTACTGTGAAGTCTGGGACATCAACATTACATACTGAAAGGTTTTGTGATTGTGTGAGAAGTGAGGCTGCCTGCAAAATGGTCAGAATCTGGGCCGCTGGTGTCCTGTCTCTTTAAGACCTGTCAATAGCCAGCTCAACAATATCTGGCTGGGTGTGGTGGTATTGGACTTATGGTGTTAGTCTGGGAGTTTGAAAGAAGGTGGTTTGTGTTTGTTCAGGAAATTCACAATGTCTCAATCCACCTAAGGCAAATTTACTTATTGTTCTCCAGAGCAGTAGTCGAATAGGTAAAAAGTGGTATAGTAAACTGTGACTACCAATCTTTGAATACCTGTGAGAGTGTTACCTAGAGACCAGGTATGCTTGTCTTGGTTCTCTTGGGTTTTGGAGTCCACTAACCTGAGAATATGTAAAAGAACTCTGAACAGGAATATCTCTCGCTTCTTCTTCAGTGTAT